ATATATATATATATATATATATATATATATATATAAGTGAGGTGCAAACATCACCTTAAAAGCTGGTTTTGTGAGATTGAGTTAAACTTAAAGTCCACTTCTAACATGGTATCAGAATCATGGTTAGAGCCTATCATAATGAGTTCTAAGTGAACATTCTATTCTTCTATTCCATCAGTGAGGTGCAAACCTCACCTTACAAGCCAATATAAAGTTCACCTTGTGAGTTTAGGGAAAATCCGTTGTTCATGACAAAAAAACCAATCTAAGCCAACATAGCATTGGTTTGTCCACGACAAGCTATTCATGGAAAACGAACTTATTGTCATGAGGGCCCCTTGTGCAACATTAATGTAATTTGGTTTTACGGTGTTGGAAAGCATCGAATGATTTTGATACAATTATTTTAAAAGTTAACAAATTCATAGGGTTGATTAGATTTAAAATATATTTTATTTTTAGCAATAATACATTACTTTTATATATTATATTGATATACAAAGTTTCGTTCTTTGATGCAATTATTAAGATACCTAGTTAACATAACAACTTTGTCGAACGGGGTTGAAATAAAAATTGATCATTATATCCTATATAATGGTTATAAAGTTTTTATCTCATATCCTCGATTCTATATTTGTATAGTGATTATAAAAACATTCCAATAATAATAGTAAATAATATTGAGTAAAATGTGACATAATAGTTATAGGTGTTTAGAGTATGTGAAGGATATTAACAATTCTGTTGATATCATATTAGATAATATACATATTTTTTAAATAATAACATTATCTCTCCATATTTTAAGAATAATTATAATAGTAGATTTATTATTATTTTCGACTTATAAATTAAGTCGAGTATATACACTTATGCTCTGTGTGTGTTTGTATCTCCCTTTACTTTTTAAATATTAATTAAATAAGTGTTTTAATAATTTATATATATATATATATATATATATAAATAAAACAAATATACACATATTTAATTTAACGGATCTATACTTAATTTAAAAAATTAGATACTAGTTCTATTTATAGTCATTATAAAAATACCCAATTAAATTAAGAACGAGTTTACAAGATGAATTAATCTATCATTCCTACTTCTCGTAATACTCGAATCTCTATTTCTTTCTATAGATGCATACCCAGTGTAAAACGAAAATCTTCATATGCATTTAATATTTATTTTAAAATATTATCTTAAACGTAAATAATAAATGTTTAAATAATTTCGGTCACACTTTCTATTTTAAAATATGCAGATGATGTGAGGAATGATGTCAACAGATAAGAAGAAAATCAAATAAATGCTGTTGGCTTGTGAAGAATATTCTTTTATATTTATAGTTTTAATGTAAAATATTTGTAAACATTTAATAAAAAACTGTCGTGCATATAAAATTATTGATTTTTAAAATAATAATTTGATGAGTAATATTAGTTAATAACCTGTGGTGAAGTTTTTTTGTCTGACGGTAAGAAAATTAGAGTAAAGGAATAATGATGACCTTTTACACAGCAAAGGTTATCGTTTTTCGAATTTTGGCTTTTTGTTGGTGTTCTTAGAAAACGAGACAAGCTTAGTTCGATACGTTTGAACATTAAATAGCGTGGGTGTAGATGAACATGGTACTCTCGTACCTTAAAAGTCAATGCATCATTAATGGCAACTGATCAAGCACTTGCCCAAGCAACAATCTCCACACAGACTAACGTTTTCTGAATCCCCTCAGAACTCGATTTTCGAGAGCAAAATTTCCAACAACCATGGCCATCAGCCCTCACTTTCTTGTTATACCATATCCAGTTCTAGGCCACGTGAATCCCCTCATTCAGTTGTCTCAGATTCTGGCCAAACATGGCTGCAGCATCACTTTTCTGAATACAGAGTTCAGCCACAAACGGTTGAACGCCACTGGTGCTGGCCTTGACAACCTCAAGGGATCAGGGATAAGGTTTGTGACACTCCCAGATGGGTTAGGCCCTGAAGACGATCGAAGTGACCAGAAGAAAGTTGTTCGTTCCATCAAAACCAATATGCCCTCCATGCTTCCTAAGCTCATACAAGATGTCAATGCTTTAGATGTAAACAACAAGATCACTTGTATTGTTGTGACATTGAGCATGACTTGGGCCTTGAAAGTCGCCCACACTTTGGGAATCAAAGGCACTCTTCTATGGCCTGCATCAGCAACTACTCTCGTCTTGTGTGATTGCATCCCAAGGCTGATTGATGATGGCGTTATAGATTCATATGGTAAGAGTATTAACATTTATGGTACTTGTTATGTCAGTTTTTGAGGGATTAATAATTAGTATCATATATACTGAGGAGGGTCTTTCATGGTTTTTCGTTTTTGGCATTGAAGGAATCCCTGGAAGAAGACAGAAAATTCAACTCTCCCCAAACATGCCTTCGATGGACACAGAAAACTTTCCATGGCGTGGGCATGACAAGTTGCACTTTGATCATCTCGTGCAAGAGATGCAGACCATGAAGTTAGGAGAATGGTGGCTTTGCAACACGACTTATAATCTTGAGCCTGCAGTGTTTTCCATGTCACCAAGGCTGCTTCCAATTGGTCCCTTGATGGCAAGTGACAGCAACAAAAGTTCATTCTGGGAAGAAGACACGTCCTGTTTGGAGTGGTTAGATGAGCAACTACCTCAATCTGTTGTGTATGTTTCCTTTGGTAGCATGGCTGTAATGGACCCCAACCAATTTAATGAATTAGCCCTTGGAATCGATCTCCTCGAGAAGCCTTTTATTTGGGTTGTACGTCCAAATGACAACAAGGTAAACATTAATGCATACCCTCATGATTTTCATGGAAAGAGAGGTAGAACTGTAGCTTGGGCACCACAGAAGAAGATATTAAACCACCCTGCATTGGCTTGCTTCATCAGTCACTGTGGTTGGAATTCTACTGTAGAAGGTGTATGTGGTGGCACACCCTTCTTGTGCTGGCCATTTGCCAAGGACCAACTTGTTAACAAGTCATACATCTGTGATGTCTGGAAGGTTGGAGTAGGATTAGACAAGGACGAAAATGGATTGATATCAAAAGAAGAGATAAAGAATAAGGTTGAGCAATTACTTGGGGATCAAAACATAAAAGCAAGATCATTGAGAATGAAGGAATTGACCATGAATAACATATCCAAAGGTGGCCAGTCTTCCAAAAATCTAGAAAAGTTTATCAAGTGGGCACAGTAATATACTTTGGATTCGAAGCTGTTATTTTATTTTATTTTATTTTACTTTTATTTGAATGTTCGGAATTTATTTCGTAGACATATTTATGTACTAGACAACTTAATCTATGAAAATTGAAAATGTTAGGAGCTGTCGTATACATCCCATTTGTATTATGAAGTTCGTTCAATGAATCCTGTGTCCCCTTCATCATTCATTATTACTAACCCATCGGTTTCTGTTACGTAATTATTGTAGCTTTCAATAATTTCTTTTGGTTTCATTCAGCTAACACCAGTCATAACAGAGTATGATGCCCAAAGGCTTGGTTATCGTTCCAAACACACAACATATTTTACACACAATTTTCCTTTTCGTTTCGTACGTTGTATGCACTTCGTCTTGGCTTTTCTTTGAAGACCCTTCTTCATTTCGCTATATTATCAAAAGTATACGAGTACGATATGAGTTATCAAAAGTATATAAACTAGTACTATCACGCTAGTGCAGTAGCATAGAAAAAATAATTATGGTTCTAGTTAATACTTTTGACTTTTGGCAGGGACGTTGCCAGTCAAACTTTACAAGTACCTTACAACACACATTATTACAACATAACATGTGATGACCCTCATACAAACTTATGGTCAACCACGGACGGACAAAAAGTCTCCTTGGAAGCAGAAATTTAATACTTTTCTGATTAATATTTTGTTTTTTTTCCGTCACTGGTTTAACAACATGATAATTTTTCTTTATATCCACTTCAAGGAGGAAGCTGGGTTGCTAGAGAGGGTTGGCAGAGTTAGGCCTGAGAAGTGAGAGAAAGTTGAAACGTGGGGAGGTTCCAGAACTGGTGATGTAGTAGGATATGGTTATTATCTCTAGATGAATCTTAGGATAAGTGAAAATGGTGCATCATGGACCACACTTATGAAGGTGGTCCCTGTTATTGGCATTGCTCTATTATATATTGTACGTTATGGTGAAGGAAAAAAAGAGTTGAATTTATCTGATATCAGAAATAAAATTCAGAGAATTAAAAACTAATAGACTTTTATTATAATTTTTTATTTCTCTTCAACTGAATCTTTTGAATTTCTTGTTTAACCCTTTTATCACCTTATTTCTTTCTTACCAAATGGATTGTAAATAACACTTCTTAATACACTATAACTGTAATCAATTATAATATCAGATATGAAAACACGCTTACTCTTACCACGGTTTAAAATATGTACAGTCTTGTTTTTTTTATTTAAAAATAGCACCAATAATTCCTACTAACAATAAATAACAAATATATCTAATTTTTTTCATGAATCTAAGGCGGTAGGTGTTCATGCGGTTAATTAATCAGAATTAATTACTATATTTTTTAGGTTCTGATAGCCCAAATTTAAAAGCATTTAGAATCTGACTTGGTCTGTACTTAATGCAACGATGTCAATTCATGAAAACTTTTGAAAGCGAACTTGGAGAAATACTTTCTACATAGAAAAGTCTCATGAAAAACTGGTAGTCCAGTCGATAAAATCCAGCTCAAACTCTTGGATATTTCAGCTTCCTGGTATTTCTCTTCCTTGAAAGCAATTTTCAAGCAAATGGGTATCCCCCACTTTCTTGTTATACCATATCCGGTTCAAGGGCACGTGAACCCCCTGATGCAGTTTTCTGAGGCTCTAACCAAACACGGCTGCAAAGTCACTTTCGTGAACACTGAGTTCAACCACAAACGAGCTAATAGCTCTGTTGGGGGGTTAGACAACCTTAAAGAAGAAGGGATGAGGTTTGTGACACTCCCAGATGGCTTGGATCCAGAAGATGATAGAAGTGACCATCACAAACTTTTCGTATCTATCAAAACCAACATGCCTGCTTTTCTTCCAAAGCTCGTACAAGATATCAATGCTTTGGATGTTCACAACAACATCACCTGCATAGTTGCTACAATGCACATGGGTTGGGCCTTTCAAGCTGCCCACAAATTGGGAATTAAAGCTGCTTTTCTCTGGACTGCATCTGCAGCTTCCTTGGCAGCATTCTATTTCATTCCAAGGCTCATTGAGGATGGAATCATCGACTCAGAAGGTAAGAATATAATATTTTCATTGATTTTTTTTACGAAAATTAAGTTCAATTTATAGTACATAAGAACGTGTAAACCTCGTATTGAAAATTAATTTTGTGAGATTGAATTAGATTTAAAATTTATTTAGTTTAACGTGAGTATTTTTGTGAGATTAAGTTAAATTTAAAGTTTATTTAACTTGGCCGTGAGTAGTTATTTTTATAGGATTTAATTAGATTTAAAGTAGATCTTGTGAAAGTTTCCCTTTTGGAATGTTATAAAGTGATTTTGTAGAGTTAATTCTGTGAGGTCGAGTTTAATTTTATGCCATATAATTTACCCAAATAAGCTTATATCTTGTTTCTCTTATCATAATTTTGCAGTTAAATCTTTCATTTGTGATGAACCAATATATGATTAGGCAGTTGTTTGATTATATTCTCCAGGTTTACACACTCAGTGCTTGATATATATTCACTCTTTGACCCGAAAATAGATGGGTCACTTGTAGTTGAAATTTATGATATAGTCAAAATATAAATATTATTACTTTGGGGACAAATATGAAAAAATCAATCATTAATAAATTTTCAACAAATCGTATAAAATATTATATATAACACCATTTTCGTGTGCTCCTTTTATATATGTTACTTAAATTTGTACAAAGTCGGACTTGATTCTAACGTATATGAATAAAAAACCTCAACTTTGGTTTGTAAAAATTTAAAAGTTCTAAAAACTTGTTTCAACTTAGTTTGGGTTAGATTGATAAATTATCAGTAAATATGATTTGGTTCATGACGGTTAAGAAATAAACTTGAAGTTTAACTTAAACTCACAAAATCGACTTATAAGATAAAATTTATACTCGCTTATATAATATAATCTTTGGTTAATATGGACTTTCAATATATTCACTTCCATATACATTTTGAGCGTGAGACTAAACATTAATGGATGGTCCGATAGTGGTCGATAACGAGTGGAACAATATGTTCACACAAATCTTGCTAGAATAGGCTTTAACCTGAATCTAATATAATGTTAAGAAGTGAACTTTAAACCTAACTCAACCCGACAAAATCAACTTCAGATTTCAATCCATTTATATACTAAAAATCCTAAAGATGAGGAGACATGTATTTTCGATAAAAGAAAATTAAAATGCAAGTTTTGATCTTTTGATTTAGAAAGAATGAAGAGAATATTTGAGAAACTTGTGGCATTGCAAATGCAGGAGAGCAAACCAAACAACAAGAAATTCAGCTTTCCCCAAATATGCCTGTGATGGATGCTGAAGACCTCCCATGGGGTGGCTTTGCTAAGAAATACTTCCCTCATATAGTTAAAGAGATGAAAAACTTGGAGTTTGGAGAATGGTGGCTTTGTAACAGTACTTCTGATCTTGAGCCTGGAGCAGTTTCCGTATCACCAAAGTTCCTCCCAATTGGACCATTGATGGAAAGTGACAGCAACAAAAGCTCATTCTGGGAAGAAGACACAACTTGCCTAACCTGGTTGGATCAGCAGCCACCTGAATCCGTTGTGTATGTTTCCTTTGGTAGTATAGCAATCTTGGAACCAAACCAATTCAAAGAAGTAGCTCTAGGCCTTGATCTCCTAAAAAGGCCTTTTCTTTGGGTTGTTCGTCCAAGTAGTGATAATGACAAGGTAAACAACGCATACCCTGATGAATTCCATGGAAGTAAAGGTAAAATTGTGAACTGGGCACCTCAGAAAAAGATATTGAACCACCCTGCCATAGCTTGCTTCATCAGTCACTGTGGTTGGAATTCCACTTTGGAGGGTGTATGCAGTGGCACACCTTTCTTGTGTTTGCCATTTTTCAGTGACCAATTTTTAAACAGGTTGTACATTTGTGATGTGTGGAAGGTTGGTCTGAAATTAGACAAGGATGAAAATGGATTAATACTGAAGGAAGAGATAAGGAAGAAGGTGGAGCAAGTTCTTGAGAATGGAGACATAAAAGCAAGATCACTGAAACTGCAGGAATTGTTGGTGGATAACTCAGTTGTGGATGGTGAATCTTCAAAGAATCTCGAAAAGTTTATTAACTGGGCCAAGTAATGATAATAATACCTTCAGCAATAGTTTCGAATCAAAGTTTTCTTTGTCTGTTTTCTCTTTAGTTCTATATCTCAAAGGAAACTTCTGTAGTATGTGTGAACTATTTCACTTTGTAATAAATGGTTCTAAAATAAATTTAACGTTAGAACTTTGAATCTTTGTAAATTAATCGAAAAATAGGTTGATTTCACTCAATTCGATTTTAATAACATATATGACGACACCTGAGTTTGCAAATGTATTAGGAAAAAAATACTCACTCTCATTCAATCAAGATCAAAGAAATACGGTATACATAAAAGAACATCACAAATAAAAATTATGAATTTATATGATCCTACGTTTCTCATCTAAAAATTATTTAAATTATTATAATGGCGACTTCTTAAATGTTTTTTTTTTCTTCATATAATCTCTCTAAATAACAAGAGTTCATTTTTTTTTCATAAATAAGACAATAAAGTTTAATTATCTTATATCTTCATTTATATCTTGTTATGCTGACAAAATTTATCAAAAAAAAAAACTCATCATATCTCTTACAACACGACATTTCCCTTTTTTTCAATTAATGTTAAAAATCTGAAATGATTTTTCAATAATATGTTTCTCGGCACTCTTAAAACTCATCAAATTTGATTATCCAAATAGTTTTTTTTACTTACTTCATACTATTGGGGTTGAGGGTTTTTCCATGCACCTCACTACCTTCATTCTACACCTCCCATTATTTTGATATTTTCAACTGTAATCCTATGTCAGGGAATATTTTGATTTTAAATAAAAAGGTTGACCCATCCATTCAATAAAAAGAAGCAAACCCTATACTCATTTCTCCACTCCAGTGTCGCATTTCACGTTTGAAAACCTTTCTCCACTCTAGTGCTGCATTCACGTTTGAAAACCCTACAACCTTTCTTCCTCTATGTCGTATTTCATATCTCGCAACATA